TGAGATTTGATGAGACTCACTTTGTGGCTCAGTAAACAATCAGTTTTGTAAATGTTACACATATGTAATCTGCAATTGATAGCTTTATTGTCTAAACAGGGCCGGTTTTAAAATCATGTCATTCAAATCTTTACATCATTATTAATCATTTGTCTACTTATTTTACCAATTACTGAGAGACAGATATAAAAAACCTTCCAGAATGATTGTGAATTTGTTTTCCCATGTAGTTTATTTTGAAATTTGCTATATTTACTTAATGCCATATTATTAGATGTATAGCTATTTAGAATCATTACAAATTCCTGGCAAATTGAACTTTTTATCATGAGGAAGAAACCTTTCTTATTTCTAAAAATTATGTTTCCTTAAGGTCTGTATCAACTTTCTTTGGTTACTATATGCATTGTTTATCATTTTCTACTAGATTTGGTTTGAATCAGAATTCAAACAAGGTGCACACACTGTATTTGGTTAAGTTGCTTACATTTCTCTTAATGATTATAGAGCTATCCAAATTATCTATTACATATCAGGTGAGTTGTAATAGTTTGTAATTTTCAATAAATTGGTTAGTTTCATCTAAGATGTCAAATTTATGTGTGTAAAGTTGTTTGTTGTATTTCCTTATTATACTTTTGATATTTGTAGTGATAGCCTCTATTTCATTCCTGGCATTGGTAATTTTGTCTTCTCTTACTTTTTTTAAAAATTTCTTTATTGATTTCGAGAGGAAGGGAGAGGGAGAGAGAGATAAAAACATCAATGATAAGAGAGAACCATTGATTGGCTGCCTCCTGCATGCCCCCTACTGGGGATCGAGCATGTGCCCTTGGCTGGAATCAAACCTGGGACCCTTCGGTCTGCAGGACAATGCTCTATCCACTGAGCCAAATCGGCTAGGGCTCTTCTCTTACTTTTCATTTAACTTCTTATATCTTCAATCAAGTGTGATTAGATAAGGATTTATTTATTTATTTATTTATTTATTTATTTATTTATTTTTACCAAATTCTACTTTGGCTTTGTTGGGATCTTTGAAACAATAGGTTGATGCCCTTCATTTCATCTTTAAATATTTCTGGGAAATTCTCAGCCATTCCTAAATATTACCTCTTCCTATTTTTCCCCCTTCTCTCTGGGATTCCAATTAAATTATGTTTTATTTTTGTCATTCTGTTCTCTGTGTCATCTCTCCTGTGCTTTTCATATTTCTCCTCTTTACTTATTCTGGGCTTTTCTTCCCAATCTGTGTATCAATTCTACTACTTTTCCCTTCAGTTGTGTCAAATCTGCTATTAAATCCAATCATTGATTCTAAATTTTAGTTACTGTATTTTCTACTTCCATAATTTTTAGATAACTCTTTTTAAAATCTCCAATATCTCTTTTTTAGTTTCTAGTTTATTACTGAGATTTTAAAATTAGACTTTTATTTCCTTGAACATAGTAAGGATACTTGCTTTTTACAATCTGTAACTGATAATTACAGTATCTGGAGGTCCCATAGGTTCCCCCCCTACCCCCCATTTTCTCTTGTCCCTGCTGTGTTTTGTTTTGCCTCATCATATGTTTTGTGATATTTGATGGTTTTTCTGGATGTTTATTTGACAAAATACTTTTATGTATAACGTAAGACCTAAGGCAATGTTATCTTATTCTGAAAAAGAGTTTTCTGGCAGATAGCTAAGAGTGCTTACAGTTCAGGAATAAGGTTTGAAGTTTTGTGGGCCATCCAAATAATCCTTGGAAGTACAATACACATCCACACCCCGAGTATAGTTCTTCAGTTTCTAGCCCGGTACATGGAGTGTTACACTAGGTTCTCTCCCTTGGTGAATATTAAGTTCCAATCCCCATTGCTCCAGCCTATGAAGCCATCAAAAATACATATCTGGCCCTGACCGGTTTGGCTCAGTGGATAGAGCGTCGGCCTGCGGACTGAAGGGTACCAGGTTCGATTCCTGTCAAGGGCATGTACCTTGGTTGCGGGCACATCCCCAGTAGGGGGAGTGCAGGAGGCGGCTGATCGATGTTTCTCTCTCATCGATGTTTCTAACTCTCTATCCCTCTCCCTTCCTCTCAATAAAAACATATTTTAAAAAATACATATCTGCCTTTCAGTGAACTTCTATGGATTGGTAAATGATCCAAGTCAGTTTTTTAAAATATTTTTTTATTGATTTCAGAGAGGAAGAGAGAGGGAAAGAGAGATGGAAACATCAATGGTGAGAGTAAATCATTGACCGGCTGCCTCCTGCACCCACCCGGCTCGATGTGCCCTTGACCACAATCCAACCTGGGACCCTTCAGTCCACAGGCGATGCTCTATCCACTGAGCCAAACCAGCTAGGGCTCCAAGTGAGTTGTTAGAGTCTCAGCCAAAAGCAGAAAGTATTTCACTAAAGTTTTTCTCCTTGAGTGCCAAAGGACTTTGATCCATGTTCACACCAACTCTCTCTTTCTAAACAGGAGAAAATAGAAGTTTAATAATTGTGCAAGGGGAATTCACATAGGCATGACAAATTCATGACATGACAATCTCCAACGACAGCACACCACCAACTCTTGAGAATGGCAAAAGCAGAGCTTCATATCTCTGCTATCTTTACTCACAAATAACCACAGTCCAGAATCAGTCCTAATCTATCTCTTTAATCTCCTATGCTTTCCTTCTTCTCTCATGATAATTTTTAAAACTTTTTTCATTATTTTTTTCAGTTGTTTTCATCAGGGTATGATGGGTATCACAATGCATCATTAGCAAAAGGGAACACATAGCATAGCATATTCTGCACCTTTCCCCCCACTTGGTATATCTGAGATATATCCCTTTATCAGTACATTCTGTTTTATTGCTGTATAAGACTCATTGTATGAACGTTCCTTATTTCTAGACACCTGGTCCTTTTCAAATTTTTGCTATTATAACCAATGCCACTATGAATAAACTCATCATACGGTGTTTGTTATTTGTTGAAGAAGTTCTATAGGATAGACTCCTAGTAGTTGTATGTGTCAAATAGTAAATACAAAGTAAATTATTTGATATTGCCAAAAGTCCCCATGTTATATGCCCAACAATAATGAACAAATTAACCTCATAGCTTCAACAGCCTATGTTGTTTGGTTTGGATTTTTGTTTTAATTGAATAAATGAGAAATATAAGCTATTCAACTAGAAGCATTTTATTATGTTGACTTTCCTATCACTACTTGTAATTGTTTTCCTCTTATTTTTCTGGTCTTTCCTTCTCAATCTCCTCCTCCTCTACCCATTATCTAAATAATAAAATTTTTTGAAGTTATTCTTGGACCCTCTTCTTCCTTGTTATAATCTTCTTAAATGATTTTGCCCATTCCTATGGCTCTAATGCCATATGTAATTATAATGAATTACAAATTTACCTTTCTGGTCCATACCTCTCTTCTGAACTGCAAATACCAAGTTGATATCTCCATGTTAATGCTCTCAAGCATACAAAAATTCAATATAGCACTAACTTTTGGATCACTGTCCTCCTTCTCCAGTCACTAAAATATAATTCAGACTTCCTAAAGCATAGTAAGTATCATTATCTCCCAATTGCTAAAACCAGAAATTAGTATCCAATTAATTTTCTAATCCTGTCTACATAAAAAAAATATATGTTTCAATGATTCAGGATGAATAAGTTCTAGAGAGCTAATGTACAACACCCTCTGCCTCTATCATTACTTCTCTCCATCGTGGCCTGTTAAAAAGTCCTTTAAACTGGGCTTCCCATTTCACTTCTTAGTACCCCTGCCTCCATCCCAGGTTTTCACAAAGGAGCAAGCATGAGCTTTTTAAAATGTAAGTTGCATCATGCTACTCACCTTCAACGGACTCTAATTTTCCTTGGTACAAAAATAAAAATCGTTGACATGATGGTCAGGGACTATATGACCAGACTGCACCTATATCTCTAACCTCACCTCGTGCCATACATTCTGCTCCAGGAGCACCATCCTTCTTTAAGTTCCTCAAAATCTCCATCCTCCCTTCTACACAGGAAATCTCTCTCTCTCTCTCTCTCTCTCTCTCTCTCTCTCTCTCTCTCTCTCGACAGTAAGCTCCATGAGGGCAAGGACATTGGTCTCTTTTCCACATTGTATACAAAGGTGCCAGAACAGTGCCAATTTGTACTTGTAAAGATTCGTGTAGCCAAGAGTTATTAAGAGCCTGAGCTAAAAGTTGGATGCGAGAGTTAGACATAGGAAACCTTAAAAATGAATAATAAATAGGATTTGATGAGTTATTTGACTTCAGATTGAGACACAGAGAGGTATCAACTATGACTAAAGGCCTCCCCATGGAAAGCTAAGGAAAAAAGAATAAAACATTAGAAAGTCACCAACAACAATAGCTAACAGGTGTGGGGCAGTAGGGGGAGGTTCAGGATGTGGAGAGAGATTTGTGCAGAAATGGTAGATTTATTTGCCAAGGCAATGTACAAAGTTCAGGGCCATGGCGGATCATTAGAGAGAAAATATTGATTGGGAAATTGGAAGTGTGGAATCGAAACTCAGCAAGCCATTAGCTCTTAGTCAAAAACTGAAGAGGTAGAAATGAATGAATTCCCGAAGTTATAGATAGTAAGGAAGAGCGGATGATAATGACAGAATTTTAGGGAATGCCTCATGTACACAGTGCAAGGGAAATATGAAGCAAATAGTTGAGCAAAGAGTGACCAGAAGGGTGGGGGAATGGGGTAATGTAGTGTTACAGAAGGCAAGCAGAGGTTTGTAAAAGAGGTCACCCAGCAGAGGGAAGTCAAATACCGTAGAGAAATAAAAGCACATGGAAGGATGGTAATGAGATCCTTGGCAACCTTGAAACTTGGGGGCGGGGGTGCATTAGGTTTTAGAGACAGAATGCTTATGTCCTGGGAAGTGGGGACTAATATTTTCATTTGTACAAGAGGATGGTACACAATCCCATATTAACCTTTAAACGTCCTCTCTTGTCCTCCCTACAGCCCTGAAGCCGGTGGATCTACACGTCACGTATCAGACAGGGCTCCTGATGGCCGTAGAGACCACTCGGAACCATAAGTGCCTGCACTGGCGCGGCCCACGGCTTGGCCCCTGCGCTCCCTTCCGCACACCAGTGCCCTCCCTGCACTCCGTGGTCCAGGGAGCTGGGAGGCCTGGCTGGGGGCCCCACACCGTGGTGGTGCTGGGGCTGGGCGCACACTTCACCACCTTCCCTCCATCCGTCTTTGCGCAGCGACTGGCAGGGATCCGGGCAGCTGTGGCTGCGCTGCTGGCCCGGGAGCCCCACACTCTTGTGGTCATCAAACTGGCCAACACTGGCTACAAGTCCGTGTATGGCAGTGACTGGTTCACCCTCCAGGTGAACCGGCTCCTCCGAGCTGCCTTTGCTGACCTCCGTGTGGCCTTTGTGGATGCCTGGGAAATGACCTCCAGCCTGGCCCTGCCTGACAGCATCCACCCAGTGCGGCTCATTGTCCAAAACGAGGTGAACTTCCTCCTCTCCTTCATCTGCCCCACCTGAGCGCTGCTGTGGATTCTGGGGCTTTGTGAATGGAAGCCATAGGAATTGTGAAGAGGATCAGAGTGACAAGGGACTCCGAACTAACAATGATCCAGAGAAGAGTGGCTACCCCAATGTTTAATTACTGTTAGCCCTGGGAGACAATCCTTGTGTACATTAATGAAAGATTTTACATAAATGAAATATTTTACATACCTTCTTTTAAGTTCACTTCGGGGGACATTTTTACTGGTGTGATTGCAGATTACGCAGTTGTAAGTAATAATACAGAAATCTCTCATGCACTTTACTCAGTTTCTCCCAATGGCAACATCTTACAACACTATATAGTGCAGCACGGTATCCTGCCCAGGATACTAACATTGACACAATCCCCAATCTCACAGACATGTCCCTAGTTTTATGGTACTCATGTGTATGTTTTTAGTTTTTTGAAAGTTTGTCATTTGTGTGGGTTTGTGTCTAATTCATTAGCATCTGTTTTGTAGCCCTGCAAAGGAGATTGGACACGGTCATGGGTTTATACGAAGTGGCAAATCTAACAGGAGAGCCCTGGATAAACTAGAGTCTCAATGGACTCTACCCTCAGGCTAAAGAGAATACAAAAATAGGACCTCACACCCTTTCACTTCTCAATCCAGTTTTCCTTTAATCAACCAAAGGTAAACTATTCTCACCAAGGTAAGTAAGAACCTCTTGGAGGTAAATCCCATGAACAATTTTCAATTCTTACCTTTTGATTTTCCCCCCTGCATCATGGACCACTCCTTCCTTGCTGAAACCATCTCTTCTCTTGGCTTCATAATATCAGATCCTTTGATTCAGACGTGAGTAACTTGAAAAATGAGGTCTACCAGAATCCATTTTGCTGGTGAGGGTTGTCACAGAGGCACCTACTTTTATTTTTTCTCTTTTAAAAAAAATATATCTTTATTGATTTCAGAGAGGAAGGGAGAGGGAAAGAGAGATGGAAACATCAATGATAAGAGAGAATCATTGAACGGCTGCCTCCTGCACGCCCCGTACTGGGGATCAAGCCCAAAACCTGGGCATATGCCCTTGACAGGAATCAAACCTGGGACCCTTCAGTCCACAGGCCAACGCTCTATCCACTGAGCAAAACCGGCTAGGACAGCACCTAATTTTCAATAGTGGTGGTGGTTGCAAGAGCAGGCTCCTGGCATAGAAAGGGCATCCTTGGTACAGTGTAAACCATAGCAGGAATTTCTCCTGCTGCTCAGTTGGACATCAGTGGTGCTGGTGGCATAGAGTACAGTTCCTGGAAGCTTAGCATTTGGGCCTGCTTCTCCAGTCTCCCAGCAGTATGTGGGCTACTCAAGATCCTTTTATTAATACCCCTTACTCTTTAATCAGCCAGAGTTGGCTTCCATTTCTTGAAAGAACTTGGATTAATCAGAGTATGTGATTATGTGCCTGGTAATTACAGGTTCATATGTTAGATGCTATAATAGAACTGAGCTATGAGAATGTGCAAGACAGACATGTAACTCAGCCTTTGTGGTCTAGGGAAGAATTCCACAAAGATACCTGAGTTGAGTTAGAGAAGATTGTGGATTATCTAGGCACTGAGTCTCAGAAGGGCACTCCAGGCTGAGAAACAGTTATGCTCAAAACTACACAATATTTTCAAGTTGGGAATGGGCTGAGGCAAGAGGTCAGATAGCAGAGTTGAACAAGAAGATCCCTGAGGACTTTATATACCATGCTCCAAGTTGTTCCCTGGACTAGTAGCAGGGCTAGAGCCCAGGCTTTTCAATGTATACTCTGGGACAAGGTAGATGCTGGAAGTCACCTGGATATGGTTTTATTTATTTATGTTTTAATATATTTTTATTGATTTCAAAGAGGAAGGGAGAGGGAGAAAGAGAGAGAGAGAAACATCAATGATGAAAGAGAATCATGGATCAGCTGCCTCCTGGAGGCCCCCTACTGGGGATCGAGCCCACAACCAGGGCATGTGCCCTTGACTGGAATCAAACCTGGGACCTTTCAGTCCGCAGGCCGACGCTCTATCCACCGAGCCAAACCAGCTAGGGCTGGATATGGTTTTAGGTGAGTACTTATTTTGTATTGGCACCCAGCCTTGCCTAAACACTCAGGAAAGAGTTAGCTGAAAGTGACCATAGCCTGTCATGGAACCTGCTGACCTGAAAAGAAACCAGCATGCCGGATCCTTACCTTGCAATCTCCTGAGCCTCACTCCCTTCCCTTAGCCCTTGCAACTCTGATCCTACTCAGCCGAACTCCCATTCCCCTCAGGGACCTTGTTATCTCAAGTTCTCCCCAAAACAACGCAACTCCCTTCCCTGTGTCTTCTACCGTGTAGTTAACAGGGAGTTAACAAAGTTGTGTCTTACTTTCCTGGGAAAGAAAACATTTTGTATCCTTTAGCTTTGACCTTGCTGCTAGAAAACTTAAGGCTAAATTTACTGCTCACATGGTAAGTGGGAAGAGGAAGTTATTATTCTTCGTCTGGGGGTTTGGACCAAACTGTTCTATAGTCATTAAGCTCCTCTTGCCTACAGCCTTATTCCCACATTTCTTCTTTGCTGTTGTGTTCTCTGCCTCTAAGTTTATTCTGCTAAGAAGTGTGGTTCTCTCTTTCTTGCTGCAGCTGTCCTTTTTCCACATTTGACCTTATTCTGGGCACTTGAGTGGCCACATCATCCATGTGTTTGCAGGTGCCATCAGCAGGATGTTACCCTGTGAATTGCTATGAAGAGAAGAATCAAGACTTTATAGAGGAATGAGAGAAAGAACAGGAAGTGTTGAGAAGTATCCTGCAATGAGGTAAGAAGGCTTAGATTTCAGAAAGAAAATGAGAGCAAAATAGAACGAAAGGGTGGATGCAGGTTTAGGGAATAGGGCATTTAGTGTAATTATCAAGCAACCAGTATTGATTAAAGTCACAGTCTGGCCCTAGCCGGCTTGGCTCAGTGGATAAAGTGTCGACCTGCAGACTGAAGGGCCACAGGTTTGATTCCAGTCAAGGGCATATGCCTGGGTTGCAGGCTTGAACCCTAGTAGGGGACGTGCAGGAGGCAGCCCATCAATGATTCTCTCTCATCATTGATATTTCTATCTCTCTTTCCCTCTCTCTTCCTCTCTGAAATCAGTAAAAATATCTTTTAAAAAAGAAAGAATATAGTATCCTACCCCTAGGTAAAAAACAACAAAACTTTAAAAATTTTATAAAAATAAAATCACAATCTGGGCAAATTACTGTTTTTAATGTGTGGAATACAATAAGGGCATGAGATATGAGGTCTGGCTTTGAGAAAGAGATGTGTAACTCTCTATCTCTCTCCTTTCCTCTCTGTAAGAAATCAATAAAATATATTTAAAAAAAAAAAATAAAAAAAAATAAAAAAATAAAAAAAAACAATATTGGATAGGACTTCAAGGAGGAGAAAGTGGTCAACAGTTTAAATACGGCTGAGAACTTGAGAAATATAATGAATAAAGAGACCTCAAAGATGACAATTAGTACAGGAAATCTTGAAGGAGAACTGGGAGTAGATTCATGGTTGAGAGGGGATGAAATGAATCTTTTATTCTGAGAATATTTGGAGTATCTCTAGGATAGGATATTGGATGTCCACCTTCCAAAAGCCAGTAACCAGTGTCCAAATGGGCAGATCCAGGAATGAGGGCTAAGGTATCTTGGATCACAGTGCTGTAGCAATAGGCCCAACACTGACCCTGTGGTTCTGTAGCCCAATTCATGCTTTCCCTGAATGTTCATTTTCATTCATGTACTGGGCCAAAGGAGAGAGGGAGGTGACAGTGGGCAGTGGCAGGGGCCCCAGCCACTATGGTGCCCACTCCCTTTTTGCCTCAATGGACCACTGCCTGATGCAAGGTAATCATAGATGGCCCTGAATACATTGTTGGTTGGGGAATCATGTACACTGATTGCCACCCAAATTCCAAAAGTAAGTTCAAGTGTATCTACAGTAGTAACTTATTCACCCATCAGCTAAACAAACTTCCCTGCGGAGGTTTTGCTGGAATCCCTTTGGGATTTGAGTTATAATATAACTCTGCCTGGTGCATCATTTACGATTAGGTTGATTCCTTTTCTTGATCTTCTCTAGCTGAATATATCTTCTTAGGTCCTAAGGCTGTGTTGGAGAGTATATGAATCCTGTAACCTAGTCCCAGGAATGAAAAGGATCAACTGAGTGGTAGGATGTCTGGATTTCTAAGGAAGAGTGGTCTGGATTCCTGGGTTTTCCATCAGCCACAAGAAGTAAGTGCTGAAGAGGAAATAAGCTCCCTACTAAATGATAGCGAGGAATAAAAGCGTAGGCAGCAGCTGCTTTATGAAGTCAGAGAGGTGATCACTGTCTCTGCCCTAAGTTAAGTTCTCTTATTGTTATTTGCCTTTGGTTTAAGACGTAGAATAAACATGATGTGGTATTCATGCCGGAAGCAGATGCCTAAGAGTGTAGGATGACTGGGTTTATTAGAGCAGTGTTGGTGACTTTTATTTTTATTATTAAAATATATTTTTTCTTGATTTCAGAGAGGAAGGGAGAGGGAGAGAGAGATAGAAACATCAATGATGAGAGAGAATCCTTGTCCTGCATGCCCCACACTGGAGATCAAGCTCACAGCCCGGGCATGTGACCTGACCAGGAATCAAACTTTGACTTCCTGGTTCATAGGTCCACACTCAACCAACGCCGGCCAGGCTGTTGGTGGCTTTTAGATTTTAAGGATGTTTGTACAACATTATAGATACAAGGAGGTAAGGGTGGAATTTCTAGGTGCTTAATAGAGGTGAGAGGGGTGAGAAGGTAGGTAGAATTGGAGGCTAAGATCCCACCAACAGTGTTTCAAGAAAAGAAATAGTCCTGCCTGCAATTCCCAGTAGGGGCCATGCAGGAGGCAGCTGATCAATGATTCTCTCCCATCATTGATGTTTCTCTCTCTCCCTCTCCCTTCCTTTCTGAAATCAATAAAAAAAAATTTTTTTTTTAAAAAAGAAGAAATAACATGGAGTGTATCTGGAGTTTGCTAATAGCAGTTGGGGGATGGAATCTCTTTCATACATTTATTCCTGCTTTCCATCCTCATTTGGGTGGAACTTAAACATGTCACCAGCCACCAAGTTTGCCCAGGTGGCCTGTGTTGCTACTATACTGTATTCCTGAGTTGTTACTGCTTCGCATTTTTATGGTGCCTCATAATTTTTTTAAAAATACGTTGTATTGATTTGGAG